CCCCAAAACCCCAAAACCCCAAAACCCCAAAACCCCAAAACCCCAAAATATCAATGGATGATTGAAATTAAATTTAGTTAAATTCAGTTCATTCTAGTTTATAAGATTGGCGTCAAACAGCATATTTAGAACAAGGGATAAAATAGCTGGACTTTCGGACCATTAGCTTCGATATTTTTCTTGGTCAGCTCAGCAAATGCGCGATTGTCAGCAAGTTCAACTCGGTATTTATCCTCCAATAAACTATACCAGTTCATGAGTTTTGGTAGTGCAGAAAAGTCTACCTTATCAAAATATTTCTCTTTGAGCTCAGTGTGCTCTATAGCAAATGCATCTCTAAAGAACGGAAGTACCATCAGATCTGCCATTGTTTCTTGTGAGAATCCTCCAATGAAAGGTCTCTCAGGGTCATCTGGAAGATGCTGTTCTGCCCATTCTAGTGCAGAGAGATACTCCTGAACTCCGTTATCTCTAAATTCTTTGTTGACCATTATTTTGATAAACATAAACACTTTCTCGAACCACTCTTTGACAAGTTCTTTCAGTACATTCTTTGGAGTCTGTTCGAGGGTAGAGCCTTCAGAGAAAGCTTTGGGCAAATACTTAGAGTCAGGCATTTCTTCAGGATACAATGAAATGCCCTGGTTGCCGAATTCTGCTTCAATCCAATCTCAGATTTGGAGAGATTCGGTGACAATGACTCCATCTGGGGTCTCAAGGATGGATACAAAGCCTCCGTTGATCTGGCAATGCCAGTCATTCTTCGCTGTAAGATCTATGCCAACAAACTGGTATTCCACCTTCTTGGCTGCTAGCACAAGGATTGCTCTTTGCACATATGGACAGAGAGGATGCCCATAAAGCCTAATGTAGTTCGAGTTCAGAAGAGGTTTTGCAGTTAGGCCATCCTTAATGATAATTTCCTTATTAGACTGAGACTCTTCAAAAGTAGTCTCATCAAAAGGATACGGAAGGCTGATGGAGGGATCTTTCCGTTTGTTCATTAGAAAATTGATAAATCCCCACTTAGGGATAAATCCTTCACCAATCTTTGGATGCTCCAGAATTGTATCAACGTATTTGGCAATGTGAGGGTAGTCTTTTAGCTTCAGCTCTTTACAATTGTTGCAGTTTTCTTGCATTGGGAAGATATTTCTGATTAAAATTGGAGATAAAATAATATCTGCGAACCCAATTTCATCTCTGTTCAGTAAGTAAGAATTAGACCGGTCGTTCTGCGAGAGATCATTCTCAATTTCTCTCATCCGTTTGACAGTGAATTCAATGTCTTTTTCATCCCCAGATATCAGACCTTTCATAGTTGAAGGCAAGAAGTTGGCATCTCTGATTTTAGTGTACTTCCTGATTTTGGCAGCTTCAAAAGGATCTTTAGGTAAAACTTCTATGCCTCTGTCAGATAGATCTAGAGCAAGTTGAACTAAGACATCGCTTTCTGTGATAAAGTCACCAGTTGTGGTCTCTAGAGTTGGAGTTGTACCTCCTAGCTCTTTAAACCAGTCCGGCTTGCCTGGGAAATCAACGTTTATTGTTTGGAACTCAATCTCTCTTGCCAGCAAAGCCAACCTAGCTCTTTCAGCAAATGGACAAATAGGATGACTGTATAAGCGAAGGTATTTCTGGTTGATAGGCAACCGAGAAGGAAAATGAGCTCCACCAATAGCAAGAGTAGATAAGCTTTGTGTCTGCTCATAAACATACGAAACTTTCTTTATCTTTAAGTACTAAATCAATAATAAAAATAGCAAAGGGGTTTTGGGGTTTTGGGGTTTTGGGGTTTTGGGG